CAAAAGAATCAGAGAAATATAAATAGTTCTATGAATTTAGTTTTCAAAAACAGAAGATCTTTTTATTGCAATTTATTAGGTTATTGAATAAAAATTTAGTTTTCAAATTTCTCAGTGATTGCCTTCAGCTTGCATTGTCTACAAATGTCTAGTTAAATATTAAGCATTACACAGAATATTATATTAAATATTATATTAAGCATTGCACAGAATTGATGATTTCAACAAAAAATTTCTAAAATGTGTGTGAGTTATTATGTATACATAGAATGTCTGATGCAGACATCACTTTAATGCAAAAGGTTCCATCCCACATTAGCAGTATAAACATAATTTGTGGAGCTGGAGTTGTGGCTCAGTGGTAGAATACTTGCCTAGCATGTGTGAGGCACTGGGTTCAATCCCCAGCACCACATAAAAATAAAAAACAAATAAAGGTATTGTGTCCATCCACAACTAAAAAATATCTTTAAAAAATAAAAATATAAACATAATTTGTTACACAAAATTAAAATGTGATTAATAGCAATGATAAGCAATCCATGTGTCTGCATTTATTAGGGATTTTCCATGTTTTATTTAACTTTACATATTCATTTTTGTTAAGTGCTATAATACTTTCATTAAGACACTGAAAATTCCCTTTACATTATTGTCCAGTGATATATTTCTATCATTTTGCAAATACATTTTATGAGCAAAGTCCTGGGTTTAATCCTCAGCATCACAAAAGAAAAAAAATTTAAATACAATGAATAGGTATGTTTAATTTTTTCCTTTATCTTCTGTCATTATAATTTTTAAACCTTCAAAACAAATAAATAGTCCTTGAATAGTTAAGGTTAAAGTTATCAAATTTGGAACTATTATTAAGGAATGAACACATAGAGAAAAATTAATATATATTTATAATTGGTCTTCTAAAGATTAATTCTCCTCTATAACTTTCCACTTAATATGCATATATAAGTTGACTAGATAGGTTTAATAATATATTTCAGAACTAGTTTGCTTCTGTGCTAAGTATAAAATGAAGACTTCAGTAATTTCATGTGCCATATAAAATTTCCCCTTCAAGCCAGCTTCACCAGAAAATAAAGACATGCCACAGATGCTAAATAAATTTCTGCATTAAACAATTAAGTCAATCTAGAAGCCCAATGTAGTCTTAATAAAAAGTGAGGTAGCTGGGCAAACATCTCAAATAAAATATGATTGTATACAGAATATCACTTATTTGTGAAGATTTACAAGAAATATTTCCAGTATTAAAAAACTGTTAAGACACTGAATAACAACCCTTAATAGGATTTATTGTGAACAAGGTATAAATCTGGGTTTTTCCATTTTCTTTCTTTTCTGCAGAGCTGGGGATTGAACCCAGGGCCTCATATATGCTAGGCAAACACTCTACCACTGAACCACATCCCCAGCCTCCTTTTTCTTTTATTACTTATTTCTTTTGGTGGTACTGGGGATTGCACCCAGGGTTGCTTTACCA